TCGGGTCCCTGGGCCTTCATGGCGTTGAAGACATCACCGAGTTGATTTTGTACCTCCTTTATTTTCTCGTCCCAAAGATTGGGGGCTCCTCTGGAATGATCATGGAAGTGGCTTCCATGCCCCATGCTTTGGTTTTCACCCTCATCCTCCTGGAGATAAGGGTCCTCTTCCTGGAAAGCAAGGGGAGGGGGAGGTGCAGCTCCCTCATGTTGGGCTTCCTGAAGTGGGGTGCCCAATGGGGCACCCGGGCGTGGAGCAACAGGGCGTGGTGCTCCTTGATGCCCAGGATGTGGAGCTCCTTGTGGTGCTCTATGTTGTGCACCTCTGTGGGGCCCTCCATGTTGTGCACCTCCATGTGGTGCTCCACGTTGGGGTCCTCCATGTTGTGCACCTCCATGTGGTGCTCCTCCTTGGGGTCCTCCATGTTGTGCACCTCCGTGTGGTGCTCCTCCTTGTCCAGCAAGTATGAGTTGCAGTAACTGTTGGTTTTGAGCAACAAGTTGCTGCATGGTCTCCAGTATTTGTTGGGGATTCGGGGCTAGAGCATTGCTTTTGTGTATATATATAGGAATCCAATATTGCATTATTAAAATGTTATTTTTTCAAAAAAACGAAAAAAGAAACTCATAAATAATTTGTGAAAAAATAACGCATGAAGGTAGATAATAGCACAAAATATACGTATGCAACGAAGAACTTTCTTTATATCTATAATATAAAATATGACAGACTGCAATAAATTTAACTGACGATTTTAAATAAACACATTCAAGAATAATTAACATCCGTCTTAAAACTATTCACATTACATCATACTTTTAGACATGAATTACCTTGCTGCATTACTATATCAATCTAATAGATTTTACAACTTATATATCTTCAGAAAAATATATGAGTCTTTATTTACGAGAATAATTATTAAATAAATAAAACATCAACGATGCCGCAATTGCGATGAAGCAGAAGATGACAAAGAACTCCCTGATCCAACAGTCCCAAAGAACAAATCCGACAAGTAGTTCCCCAAATCCTCAGGGGCAAATCGGACAACAGGTTCCAAATTTCTCTCTCTTGCTACCGTAGCCCGATGCACAATGTAGAACTGCCGGTACACTCCAACGAGCTTTCTAGCAATGGAAACTTTGATATCATCCCGGAGCTTACTATCAAGTACGATGCACATAGACTGCTTCTTGTACGCCTGCTCGAACAACGAATTAAATCTCTTGAAACAATCCTTCACTTCCTCCGGCGTCGTTACCGCCGTCGGATCCTCCGGGATTGAATCAATGACTTGGCTCCATGCTAGCCGTTCGTAGCTCAATGCGAACTGCCTGACTTTGGTTTCATGCTTGTTCACCCAATCATCGCCAAGTAAGTACTTCATGTTTGATGTACGGACTTTCGCAACAACGTAGTTTAAGTTGTTGGCTAAGAAGAGGTATGAGAGCGAAACGTCTTTGTAGTGCTTTGCTTTGCCGTCCAGTTTGCAGAGTAAGACGAGTATTAACCACGCGAATCGGAGAGAAATCGCCGGCGAAGGAAAGTCTTCGGAATCGGAAGTGTCGAAGTACGACTCCGGCAGAGACGACTTCGCCGGCGGTGGAGAATCGGCAAGTATATCCGGGAGTATGTTGCTGTAGTCGGCGAGGAGAGAGAGGTAGTTCATAACATCAATCGTCAAAACATGAATTCCGGCTCCGGCGGCTAGTGATTTTGAAGAATCCTTCTGAACCGCCGATTCGAAATCGCTTAACTCTGTCTGTACAGATTCTCTGAGCTTGATGAGTGACGTCAGAGCTTGAGATCTGATGTTGGATGTTGATTCGAGGGAAAAGATGTTTTCGATCTCCGGCCAGCGATCGGCAATGGCAGTGTACATATCTAGTGTCCGGAATATCTTTTCCGGCGATTTCTTGCTGTTTCTCGTCACATTTTCCGGGAATCCAAACAGGATCGATGCTCCTTCTTTTGTTATCTCAGCATAAACCGACTCTCTGATAGATTCCGAAGCTGCAAAGACGTGATCGCAGAGAATTCTCTCTCCATTGAATAGAGTTTTCACGGCAATCCTCACAGCATTCAACCAATTCTTGATTCTCAGGTCCAGAACCTCCCAATCCATCTTATGTACGTGTGCAGAGCTCAGTTTCTCAACCCCAAGTTTGTATATACCTTCATCTACTATAGATTTACGTATGACTTTGTATATCTTCACGCACTCTTTACCATATCCAGACGATATCATACACTCGGCTATCGTTCTCAAATCCCCCATGGCAACATCAGAAACATCTTCCACTTCAGAGATGGAATCGCCTGCCGTCCGAATCTCATCTTCGGGTCCATCATCGTCTTCGTAGTCTGACGTGCTCGTTCGAGTTGAAGCAAGTGAGGATCGAGCCGAGACAGACTCAGGATCGAGATGAGCTCGGTTAATTGAGAGAATCTGGTAGAACTCTTTTTGCAATCGTTTCATGGCGATTTGCATTAGGTTCTGGGCACGACCGAGCTTGTCTGAATTGGAGTTTTCAGACGCTGAAAAGTGCATGGCCTTTTGCAGATCATTGACGCTCTTGATAAATTCCTTGGCTTCTCTGCGGTTCTCGTAAAAGAGAGAAGTGACTTTTGCGAACGTTGAAGTGTCTGGGTTCCATTTCATGATAATGGAGTCTGCGATTTCCAGAGTTCGATCCATAAACGCGTCGGAGAACAAACGCCGTGGGGTCGAATTGGGATTCTGAAGACCGGTTCTGGAAGGCCAAGGGAAGTTGGAAATTGAAGACGATGATGCCTTCGGGGGAAAAAAAAGGCTCCTCATTCCTTTATACGGCATAGCTGTGCCTGTGAACTGTGAAGTGATCAAACAAAGCTAGCCTGGTTGCGTCAAGAATCGAGGATTCAAGGTATATGGCAATGAGAAGAACCAACCAGGTAACTTTGTTTTTGTATGTATATGCGTTTGTGTTGGTTTTATGAACAATTGTGTTGGTGGGGTGTATGGGATGGTCTCATGTGGTTATATATAGAGAGAGGGAGAGATGAAGGAAGGAGGCCGCAGCTTGGGGGTTGAAGGTGGTGGTGGGGTTAGACTTTTTCGAGTATCATTCATCCACTTGGAAGACTTTTACGCGTTACACGTGGTGTTAGCGTCGGCACCAACAAATAACAATAAACTATGGGTTTGACTATGCTAAACAATCCTGACCCCAAAAAAAAAAATAAAACAAGACTACGCTAAACAAAAAAAGAAATTTGAGGTAGTACCTGTTATTATTTTTTTTGGGTATTTATATTGTCTTTTGGGTAGAGTTTACTAATTTTTGAATTGCACTAACTTTTTCATTCCACTTTCTATCTATTGGATTCACTTGCCATTTTTTGAGTATAATTTATCAATTTTTATGTAGAATTTACTTATTTTTGTAATTTTTTTTATTTTTCGGTTCATATCAAAATACCCTATTTTTTTTCCTAAACTATGGAAACAAAATATTTCTTGCAGCTACTTTTCTAGGAAAATTATTTTATTCGAATTCCCAGTTTCACAGTGCTTAATTAAATGTATATTAGCCACCCATTAGAAATAGACTTTGAAATATTTATCTCAACGTGAATTATCTATTTTTGACTAAACTAGAGAGAGAATTAGTCATATTGCACAAAAATTGACCTAGACACCTTTGTTCATTGAAAAAAAAAACACAACGTAAATGACTCTAATTACCTATATAAAGAAAAGATGAGTCATATAACCTACGAGTGAAGACAGTTCGGATGGACACAATAAACAAATCGTTTTTGCAAGATGTCAACTAGAAAATAGTTTTTTTTGTGAACCAGAAAACAATCAAAACTTTCGCATGTTGGAAATTTGTTAAATATTAATGGTGCTCCTATTAAAAGTCAAACTATTTGAATGTCTAACAATCAGTTGATATGTTTGCTTGCTTATTATATTATTCAAACAATAATACTACGGTGATTAAATTTTGGGATAAAATTTAGAGCTCAAATGACATGTCAGCATATTATTTATAATTTTTATTATGCCCAATTGAGTAACGTTATTGAGACTTAAAAATTTGACTAATTTGATTATTTAATAATATGGTACTCGACCTAGTACAATTACAATTGTCCAACTTTTCATAAGATTATATACTGCAAGAATTATGATTTTTTGAGACAAATATTTTGTGGAAACTATGTTCAGTGTCACAAAAAAAACGTGTTTTTGTGGTAATAATGTTGTCACAAAAAATTTATTTGCTGTCTTTAAGAAGGGCCGTTACCACCATAAAAAATTTATTGAGACTCAACTTATTATGGAAGCCCTTTTTGTGACATCTCTACCACCACAAAATTTTTTTTTCTTTTCATAACACCTTTTTTTTTGTGACAGTGAGCACAGCTGTCACAAAAAACTTATCTCAAAAAATTATAATTCTTGCAGTGATATCACTTTATACATCATTAGGTAGTCTTAAAAGTATTATAGTTGTAATTTTCTACCCACATGTTTCTACAAGCCATTGCTTTTCATGGCTATTTGATATAACTAGGAGTCGGGTGGAAAAAAAAATCCCCCACAACATCAGTCATGGTAAAAGCAGTATAAGGTCGTTAGCTGATCTCTCTGAAACTAAACCGGTCCTTCCACCTATAAAATCAACCATTTTTCGTCATATTCCAACTATGTAACCAGCCATGACGAGTACATGATCACATTCTTGCATACTTCTCTCAAAATCATATGTCATTGATTTAACTTTCTTTAGCAAGTTTATCTCGTCAGCATCTCTTTGTCTTCTCTGTTCTGTTTCACTTTTTTTATCCAATTTTGTGGGTTGCATTCGATGACTAATTTGTTGGCATGACCATATGGCGGGCGGGACCTTATATGTAAGCATATATGTAAACTTTTGTAATGATAGCTAGACTTTCTCTAAAGCAACCTTAGCAAACATTATTTGAAAATATTGGTCAATTTTGGATCCATTAATGGTATTAATTTTCATCATTTGGCTAATTTGAGTCTTATCATTCCTTTGTTTGGTGACATGTTTTGATGATTTTCCAAGCTTAGGTCCTGGTTCTTTTGCATTTTTTATACAGACATACGTGAGACAGCGATATAATACTTAAAAACGACAAAAGATAGATTAAATCATCGACTAATCTATATAATAAAACACATAGTAACTTGAATTTTTATACCCTTCATATTTTCCTCTCTAAAAACATCACATCATTCATTTCTATAACATATTTAATCATTTATATATTTTCCCCTAAAAATATCACATTACTCATTTTTTATCATATGTTTAATCATTTAATATTTGGTTTATTTGTAGTTAATATAATTTTTTATTGCAAACATTATTCATATACGATAATATACAGATGTTGAAAAAATTTAATACAGTGCGATCAATTTTTTGGACGCTCGAATTTTATATTTATTGTGCTTTCAGGCACATGTTCTGACTAGTTCTTTTAAATGGCGTCTAGCATTGTATAATAATAGAAAATTTGTTGTAAAATTAAGATAATAAAAAACACAAAAATGTAAAGAGACAAAAGAATATAGAAATATTAGAAAAAGAATTTTTCAACTTGTATGTTTCTAAATGTAGTCAAGACCTTTTTTTATAGGCTATCAAATATAATGACCATCAAATACAATATTAAGTCTGTATATCAATGGGTAGGGGTTATAGACCAATGCACTAATGCCTACTAATTCCTATTTACTTGGTGTAGTAATTAGTAACTTACGGGTCATTCACTTTATATACAATACATATACAATGTAACGGTAATATTTGCAACACTTCTCTTGGATTACCACTATGCTAAGATAATGTCTCATTAAAACTTTGCTACGAAACTTTGTGAGAAAAAACCTGGTGAAAAAAAAGTACATATTTAAATAAATCTTAGAATAACGTTGGACGCATTAATACTGCCTCATTAAAATCTTATTAGGACAACACAATAGGAGAAAACCTAGACGAAGAAAAAAAAAAGAATAACGTGCATATTGTCATGTATCTTGATGTTGATACTCCGTTTGATGAAATGCTCCTCTTAGAAATCAACTAGATTGGTCTAAAATCTGTCGCATTCCGATACCATATATTAATTTCTTGAATGTTGATGATGGTAAATTTTTAGTGAATAGATCTGCAAGATTATTACTGGACCGTATTTGCTTTACTTCAATTTTAGAACTCTACTAGAGTTCATGAGTATAGTAGAATTTTGGTGAAATATACTTGGTTTTATCTCTGTTGACAAATTCTCCTTTGATTTGTGCAATACAAGCAGCGTTATTTTCGTATAACATTGTCAATGAGTCAGTACTTAAAGGTAGTCTGCAAGTATTTTGGATGTGATGGAGTACAAACCTTAGCCACACACATTTACGATTCATTTCATGGAGTGCAAGTATCTCAATCTGATTTATGTAGTAATTAAAGTTTATTTGGTAGATCGCCATGAGATAGCTAAGTCACCACATGTAAAAACAAATCTAGCTTGTGAACGAGCCTTGAGGGGAGGAATGATAGGCTGCAAACCATGCTCAACACCTTCTGCCTTGGTTTCCAAAATGTCACCAACGGATGGAATCCCTTTCCCTAACCCTACCGAATATTGTCATTTTGTGGGTGCCCTACAATATTTAACTCTCACTCACCCCGACATCTGTTATTCGGTGAATCAAGTTTGCCAATTTCTCCATTCACCAACTTCTGAACATTTACAAGTGGTTAAGCGTATTTTACACTACATCAAAGGCTTTCTTGGTTCCGGCCTTGTCATTCGTTCTGGATCTTTATCATCGCTCATCACCTTTTCTAATGTTGATTGGGCTAGTTATCCTATAACTCGGCAATCGGCCATTGGTTTTTGCATCTTCTTAGGCCCGAATCTTGTGTCTTAGGGCTCTAAGAAGCAATCCACTGTCTCTAGATATAGCACTGAAGCAGAGTATAAAGCATTGGTTGTTACCAGCTCAAAAATATTATGGCTTTCCTATTTACTACAAGATCTTCATGCTCCACCATCCTTACATATGGTTCTTCACTGTGATAATAGGGGTGTTACATACATGTCTTCCAATCCTGTTTTACATGCTTGCACAAAACACATTGAAGTCGACTATCATTTTGTTTGGGATCTTGTTGTCAAGGGTGCTCTTAAAGTTCAATTTATTCTGGCTACATCACAACCCGCTAATATTTTTACAAAAGGTATGCCGGCACAAACTTTTACCAGGCATATTTCCAAACTATTGCTGGTTTCTGACATTAATTTGCGGGGGAATGATAAGTGATGGATCAATGCCAATGCTGTTAGGATTACATGATAGGATTACACTCATCAGTAGTTATCTTATATCTAAATTCATGTAGTTATCTTGTATAAGATTCTTATTTATTGTACACTCACAAATACAATATAAATAAAACTCTTCCAACTCACTTTCAGGTGAGTCATTCCAAACAATCAATCTTCTTCTCGTTCATAATTTCAATTATGTTCAAATCTTGCAACCTTAGGTGCATCAATTGTTTGGGAGGATTAGGATCTTTAGGAACTTATATCTCTCCAATTAATGTGAGTATTTTACCACAAAATAATCAAATTTATTCTTCAAGAATATGGGGGTGAAGGATACTGATTGTATTTGTGCGATCATTTAGAAATGTTTAATTTCCTTCCTCAATTGTATCTTCAGGATCCATAGAATCAAACTGTCATTAATTCACTCTTTTCAATACATGATTCATTTTGATTCTGATAGTAAATTCATCATTACTTATG